GAGGCCCCCAGGGATGCCAGCCAGAGGGTCCACACAAGGAAATGCTTCCCTTGCTTGTCAGCAAGCAGAAGAACAGGTCAGAGTGTCGCTCTGGGTGGGGGCTGCTTAGCTTGTTTCCGGGAGCCAGGAGGCAGGAACTTAGCTGTGTAGACACGTATGTGTACGTGTGTAATATACACAGAGGAGTGTGACTCAAAAGGCTTTGCAAAGTAACACCCCCTTCCCCAGGGACACCGATTCAGGCAGGTGCAACCACGGGCACAAGTTCCCACAGCTGACACGTGGCCTGCCTTCGCCCAGGACTGCTCAGTTCCAACCAGATTCCGTGTGGCTAAGAATCACACAATAGGAGCAGACGGTGGGTGAGCGTTTCTGTACTCGCCATGTGCCTTCAGGAGCTACCCATGCCCACCTAGCCTCCTTCGGTCTAGCGTCTCACACACTGACTACCACATCGCTGTGTGTACCCAGGGAGCACATTTCATGCGACGCTTCAGTAAAATCTCACTTTGCTTCTCTCGTGGGTCCCTAAGTGAGTTGCGTTCTCCTTAAGACTGCCCCACACCGGACGCCCACATGCTACAGGACGCCCACACGCTACAGGATTCCCATATCCTCGAGGCTCTCCTTGCCTGAGTCCTTCCCCACTCACAGACCCTCTCGCAAACCCTGGGGCTCAACTTCAAACTCTTGCATTATGCTGAAATTTGGTAATGGAAGAACAGAGCTTCCTCTGCGGATGTGGGGGAAACTGGGAAATAAATCTTGAAGCTATACTTGAGAGCCCCCAGCACAGCAACCTAGCTGAGCCCTCCCTGTTGGCGTTACCGCTTGCAGCAGTAACAGAGCGGACACTAGGTGAGGACAAGACTCAGGTTGCTGGGCTCACATTGCTTAGTGACCCAAGAAGGGTGTCCTCTATAGGGCTGGTGACCCCAAGCCACAGGTGAGCTGAGAACCCTAGACAGCGCTGACTACACTTTCTGCCAAAAGCTAGGACCTGGGGCCTCCGGGCAAGGGAGCCAACATAGAGATACCCCGCTGGTATCTACGACGGAGACTTCATGTTCTGATTGAAGGACACACTGCTCATGTCCCCATCTAATGCTCTCTCCCATGCCTATTGCCCGACACAGAATGAAAACAGGAACCCGAGGCCAGCAAGATGGCTCAGCAGGTAAAGGTGCGCTTGCTACCTACCCAGCCTGGAGACTTGGTTGCCATCCCAGGGACCACAGTGGAAGGAGGGAATGATGCTCCTTCGTATGCAAGCTGTGCTCACTTTAACCAGGACATGAGGGCCCGCAGCCACCCCACCCCACAACAGACGATAAATGAATAAGTGATACAGCGGGACCAAAACACAGCTGACAAGAAAGGGAGAGTCTGGTGAGGCGGGACGATCTAAATCTCTGGATAGTCTCGGCTACGCAGAGAATTCTAGGCAGGGCGAACTACAGGAGTCTTCTAGAAATTATCTAACCGGGACTAGCAAGATGGAGCAGTGAGGACTGGCTGCCTAGGCTCTGACCTGAGTTTGGTCTCCAGGACCTGCATGGTAGGAGGAGAGAACTGACCCCTGCAGATTGACCTTTGACCTCCACTCAGGCACTGTGACATTCTCTGCTTGGAGAAACACGTTTAAAAAAATCTAATTAAAATCTCCATTTTTAAATGAGTTACTGGGGACTCAAAAAGTGGGTGCAAGAGCCCAGGAAGGAAGGCCCTTTGGCCACGGGTTGGCTTTTCTGGAACCCTCCCTAGGTAGTCCAGGGAAACCTGACCTTGAACCCCCAATCCTTAGCAAGCTCTCCCTCAAGAAAGGGGGATTTGTGAGCACCAGCATTTTGTGATATCACAGAAAGGCTTGTGAAGCAGTTTGTTTTTGGAACTGGCCTTGGCAACCAAACAGGATTTTGGCAAACGGAGAAACAACCACGCCCCAGGGGAACGCCCCAGACAGGCCTGCGTGGTTTTCCGTGACAGTGCACCCTCCTGGGTTGGCTGAGGTACAGAGAGAACCACGAGGGCAATGCTAAGGGGACAAAGGTAGAAACAGGCATGTCGAGTGACAGAAGGTCCTGAGTATGAGGCCAGAAGTTCATTACAAGGTTGTAGCGATGGACAGAGAGTCATGGCTTACAGCCAGGGGTTAGGGAAAGGTCATCACCATTGCATTCTTGGACGATCACGGATTGTGGGTCCTGCTGTTTATTTTGTACTCCTTTCTAATCCCCGTGCTCATCATTCATGAGAACACTAAGACTCAAAGCTTACCTTTAATTGCTCCGAGGTAGGGTGGCAGGTCAAGTGTTCAGAGGACAAGGTGGGGGGAGGCGGAGCATGTGTGGAGAACAGAAACCTGGAGAGACAGTGTGGAGGGCCAATTGTCCCCACCCTTGGGGTCAGTCGACGGGGACACTGGGAGAGGGAGGATGAGGGGGCAAGAGACGGGAGAGATGGAGATAAGACAGTGCTCTGATCAAGTCTCGTTTAATGAATATGACCACAGCGTTTAAGTGGTGGAGAAATGAGGGAATGGGCCAGAGGGAGGATGTGAGGGATTACAGGCAGGATGCGGGAGTCCTGCTATAAGATGAGTTGCTATACGATAAGCCCGCAGCTGGGACTCTTTCAGGGTCAGGCTGTGTCATGTTTAACAAGAGAACAGCCATAGGGGAATGGAAAATAACCAGTGTGTTAGTGTCTAAGAGAGTAGTAGGAGAGATGGCTGTTAAGGTGGTAACTTTGCTCTGGGGTTCCCCACAGCCAATAGTTTAGGCCACTGTACAGTTCCCAGACTAAGACAGCTTCCTGGAGTTGTAAGTAGGTAGGGTGAGCCTCCACAGGGGCCCAGACATTTCCTCCAGCAACTGTGATTCTACGGACTCTGATTTCTCAATGGACATCAAGATCACAGAAGGAGCAACTTAGCCAGACACACCAAGCAATAATCTCTTAGCCCTCAGACCTGCCACGATGTGCTGAGGGGTATGCTGAACGCCCAGGCCCAGGGCCTTTGAAGCTACAGGAAGCTGAACTTGACCCCGAGTTTGCTACTTACTAGTTGAGTCATCTTCAGAAGTGATTTAACTCCCTCAACGCCAGGTGTGTCTCCTTTGCTAAAGCAGGGAGCATGGCACTCGGCAGGTGGAGGGGGTTACTGTGGCATGTGGAAATGCTTTCCTGCACCACCCCACGCATGCCTGCTGCTCAACTCATGATGCGTCTTCCTTCTTTGTTGTGAAATTAGTGCCCGGTAAAAGGGAAATTAGTAACAACCAAACATCCTGGAAGTGGCTAAGGTCAACTTCCTGTATTAAAACTTCAGAAGAATGCTAAGTAATAGCAAAGGGGACCCTTTTCCTCTCTTGTCCTTAGCTTCTCAGTGAGGTGGGCACCAATGAACGGACATCATGTATGCGTTATTAAACGTAAAAGTTTGCATCATTATAGATCAGAATCAGACTGTGTAAAATCTATAAAAGAAGATGCATGCGCTTAACAGGAGGAATAAAAACAACTCTCAAAAGTAAGCAGGGAAAGAAAGAACAGTTTTAAGAGCAGCCCTCTGACCTCAGGAGACACATTTACACTGAATATCGATAATGGCTAATAGGCTGCTGCAAAGATGCCGGGCGTCCTTGTTCCTTAGAGAAACGCAAATCAAAATCTGCTGGGGGTTGGTTGCACTTTGCATTCTCTGAGCTGGCTGCAGTCACGTGGTGTTGGTGACAATGTGGAGAGAAATCAGATGCTGATGGTGGTACAGGCCATGGGATGTGCTCTATAGATCATCAAGACGCTAAACACGAGGGTACCACCCGTGAGCATACACACAAAGGCTTTTTACAACAGCTACACAGAAACGTATGCACCGGTATCTGCAGATGCACCATTCCCATCAGGCCAGGAACTACTCAAATATCCCTGAGCCAGTGGCAAAGGAAGGTGACATCCAAAGTCAGGGGTGAGGTCCCGGGTATGGACTGAACTTTCCAATCTAAGATCATTAGAAGCAGTCAGGCCCAAGAGGCCAAACAGTGTTAGATCCCCTTTGTGAGGGACTTCTGTGAGAGGCAGCCTCCAGAGAGGGGGCTGCTGGTTGCCTAGGGACGGAATGTGGGGACAGAGGGCTAAATGCGTGTATGGGATATGGGTGGGGAAGAGTAATCAAAGTGTTCTCATGGAATGGCATTTCTCAAGTCTGTGACTACATCTGAAAAGTTAACTAACTGTTCTGTGTGAGAGCTGTAAGAATGATGGATGGCAGATCCTGAACGCCAAGGAAGGCACACCGAGTACATCCACTGACCTGCCATTAGCAGAGGGTACCATTCGTGCCTACCTTTGGCACTGTGTACTCTCTGGTAAGAGCCAGCCCTGATCTCAGTCCCTGGAAAGCCGCTGCCAACTGAGATGTATTAATGCATTAGCGAATTTAAATAACAACCAAAAAAAAAAAAAAAAGGCAAGATACAACACAAAGCTCAGCACCCTCCACCCAACTCTCCCTTTAGTCATTCAACCCGAAACTTGTTTTATTTTTGTTTTAGATTTGTTTATGTGTACGGGTGCTTTGCCTGTGTGTGTGTGTGTGTGTGTGTGTGTGTGTGTGTGTGTGTGTCTGTGTGTCTGTGTCTCACACGCTGCAGTTCCCACGGGGCTCAGAAGTGTATGTGTCATGTTTCCTGGAACTAGAGTTAGGGATGGTTGTAAGTCATCTTATGGGTGCTGGGAGTTGAACCCGGGTCTTCCATGACATTGATAGTGCTCTTAACCAGCAAACCATCTCTCCAGCCCATAACCCAGAGTTATACTACACAAGGGATAGAAGGCCCCCAAATGACTCATTTTAAACTCCCTGGCTTCGAAGCTGGAGATGGTGATTTCTTATGTGCATGAGTTCTAGGATGCCCCATAATATCTCTTATGAAGGAGGCGCCTCCAAAAGGGACCAGAGCATAGCAGTACCGAAAACAAAACAGGTCTGTACTCACACTTCCGTCTACACTGAGGTCCTCGCTCATCCTGGTGCAACTCAGCAGCTCTGTCCCGCGATGGCGCCTCCTGTGCCAGCAGACGGACGGACGGACGGACGGGGCTCCTGGTGGTAGATAGACCACTGCTCACTGCAGGTGAAAACTGCAGAGGAGCAGGGACTGACTGAGGGAGGACATAGTTCCCAGCACCCTCCCCCAGTCTTGCCAACTTCTAGTCAAGCAGGGGCCTCTGTCTCCCACAGAAGGAAGTTACTAAGGACAGAAAAGCCAACCACAAATGAAAGTATGACATTTGCAATTCAAAGCTGCTTCTCCCACCGAGGAGCAGAGAGCACCCTCACCCGGGAGTTAACCCTGCCCACCCCACAGATGCGCAGGCTCTTCTAGAGATCAGTCTTTTAACTTTAAACTGCAGATGGGAACCAGGGAGCCTTGAAACTGGGGTGCAGGACAAAAGATCTCAGTCAACTCAGCAGTGAAAATGTAAAGTGTCCCTCCAAGCAGACTAGTGAAACTCAAAAGCAGTGTCTGGATTCTAAACTGTGACTCCTCAGAGAGCTGGAGAAGCTCCATCACAACCCAGCAAGGAGCAAGGTGGGACAGCCCGGAGCTAACTTACTGGGGTCCTCTTGTCACATCCAAAGCTCCATCCACCTCCTGCCCCAGAGGCCTTTCACTCGGAGCATGGGCTGGTGCTTCGACACACGGGACGGATGTCGGTTCTAGCCTTGGAACTGCTGTAAGGCCATCAACATACCAGGCATCTATATGGCAGGAAGGAATGAGGGCAGAGGTTAAACTCCTTCTCACCCAAGAGACTGGTTGCACCATGTCTGAAAAAGTGACAATTTATTCTATTAGCATTTATCCTAGAACGCCGAAAGGCCTAGTCGAATGGAGGCAGAAATATCCAATGGTCACTAAAAGCAAACAACAAGGAGACAAACTGAGGGCTGGGTAAAGGCGGACAGAAATCCTGTGCCCACGGAGCCACTAGCGGGCCCACAATCCACCGCCAGCACACAGCCTTCAACCAGCAGCCTACCCCTCCCCCTCCCTCCCCTTACCCCTCCGTCCCCGTTACCCCTCCCCCGCCCTCCCCTTACCCCTCCGTCCCCATTACCCCTCCCCCGCCCTCCCCCTCCCTCCCGTTACCCCTCCCCGCCCTCCCCCTCCCTCCCCCTCCCTCCCCTTACCCCTCCCCCTGTAAGTTTTGGCTCCGGGCCCCTTCTCTTAGTTGTCCTGGTTTTGCTGTTCACATTCCAGCCATCAGAACCTTTCACTACATTTCCCAAAGCTGTCTCCCCCTCCCCCCTTCACCTCTTCTCTCCCACCGGCTGTGGAGCCTTCTCTGAACTCCGGTCTTGTTATTTTAGGAGTTGTTCCTAACTCTGTGTAATGGCACCTGCTGTAGAGTGGGTGTCCAGGCATATTTTGATTGAATCCATACACAAACAACCAATGTATCTCCCTGGACAGATATCACTGTTATCAATTACTGTCCTCTTTCAAGAAACCCCTCCCCCCCTACACGGGGACAGGCGTGTCCACACCCACCCAGCAGAGGCGTACGCGGGCACACCTCTTTCCAGATCAGGGGTCTCGGATAAGTGTCCCTTTGTGCCTCCTCTGTGGTCTGTGGCAGGACTGATTCTGAACAGAAAACCAGCATCGTTAAAGCCTGAAGGAAAGTTCCACCGCACAGTTCTCAAGATAATTCGTTCACTTTAACAAAAAAAAACAAAACACTAAGACCACTGGGTCAGGGTAGAACAAATGTGAACTTAGGGGGGCGGGGGTGGACCTCAGAGGGTTTGGAGGGTAGGGATATGGCCAAAACATATCGTACGATATTCTCGATTAATAAAAAAAGTTAAGAAATGCAGTAGACAGGCGCTAGAGCACAGTTCAGCTGGGTGCCGGCTGCCCTCACAGATGGCCCAGTTTTTGGTTCTGCAGTGCCTGGGGATCCAGAGCCCTCTTCTGTGGGTACCTGCACACATACGGCGCACAGACATACATGCAGGCAAAGCACCCACCCACATAAAGTAAATAGATAAAATGCCATAGACAAAGCAGACAGGGTACGACGGGTCCCAAGTTAGGACGTTAGGAAGCAAAGCTTTCAGGCCTCTATGCAGAGCCGCACGCAGCACAGGTGCAAATTCAGAAACAATTCAGGCCCGGCCCGCCTGCAGTTGCAGGCTTGGAGTCACAGCACCTGGGAGACAGAAGCAGGGGCATCTCACCTGCAAGGCTTCCCTGGGCCACAGAGAGGGTGCAGGGCTAGCCTGGGCAACGTAGTGTGACCCTGTCTTAAAACAGAAAGTGAAAAGACGGGAGATACGGCTCAAACATATCGCCTGTGGCAATGTGTGAGTTCCCAGAGTTCAGTGCCCGCCACTCCAAACAGAACCAGAGGGAATACCAGCGGTGGCAGCTGACAGAATGGTCACATCCACTTAGAACAAGGCTTTGGGGGATGGGGTGGCAGTGACAGGTAAGGCCAGCCACGTGGCTCCTCGAGGTTCTGTAACCAAAGACAGTACGTACGGCCACCTCTTATACTAGAAGGGAAAAGGAAGGAACCCATTACCCGTCTGGCAAGCCTGTGTAGATGAGGAGCACATTTAGATTTCTCACCTTTTCATACAAACATTTTTTTTTAAAAAATTCCTTTGTGTATGGGTGTTTGCCTGCATTTATGTCTACGCACCATGGAATTGCAGTACCCGAGGCAGCCAGAGGAGGGTGTGGGATCCCTTGGAAGTGGAGTTACAGTTGGTTGTGAGCTGCCATGTGGGTACTGGGCCTCAAACCCAGGTCTTCTGGAACAGCAGCCAGGGCCCTTAACCACCGAGCCATCTCTCCAGCCCCTAACTTCCTCCCTTTCTTTTCTGCATGGGTTAGGGTATTTTTGTTTGGAGACAGAGTCTATAAACCAGGCTGACCTTGAACTCACAGAGATTAACCTGCCTCTGCCTCCTGAACGCTGGGATTACAGAGGAGCAACCCCCATGCCTGGTGTAAATGACAATTCTGTTTTCATATAATAGCTGAGTCACAGTTGTTACCTAAGTAATTAAAACAAAAAATCTCATGCTTACCAGTGTCCTCTGTGCAGGACGATGTCTCCCTGTGCAGGACAGGGGGCCAGAGTGAGGTGACTCCTCACCTACAAAGACCTGTTGTGAGACAATGGTGGAGCGTATTAGAAGACAGAACATAACAAGCAGAAGCACATGGCGCACCGGGCGGGCCTAGGGAAGCGACCGGCTCCACCACTATTCTTTAAGGGAACATGTTTGTACTGGAGACCTCTCATTGCGTTTACCTCATTATTGAGTCTAGAATGAGATCCAAACTGTGAACAGAGAGCTGAATGGTTTCACAGGGGAAGAGAACTAAGGAGTTCACAGAGACTCAGAGGCCGTGATAGTGTCTCTTAAATTCTTAGGGAGCTGCTGAGCTGGATCAATGGTAAAGGCGCCTGCTGTCCCACACAGGTGAAGGAGAGAACTGACTCCCACAAGTTGTCCTCTCCGTGTACATGCATACACAGACATATAAATGCACGCTTCTGAAAGGTTAAAACATATATAGCCAGAAAATTGTGGCCTTAATTTAACAGGACGGCATCTGCCAACTACAACTGATGTTAGTTGCTCCCTGGAGGGTTAAACTAGCCTTGGATTCCTGATCCTGTAGCCACCTCCAGAGGGCTGGACCCCAGACAAGCACACCATGCCTGCCCACCCACACTTCTCTGTGTATGGAGAACTTTTAAGCTCGACATGCTACAGGGGTACTTTTAGGCGCTTCGCCTAATTTTTTAGGCACTTTGCCTAATTTAAGTTTTTTTTTCTTGAATGTGTCTGTATCTTCTTTATATTTATATTATGTGCCCTGAAAGAGCTATGTGTAAATATCACTCCGTTTATTTCTTCCTCTATCTCTGTCCTCCGGTGCCAACTTTGCTGTTCCCTTAGACTCTTACATGAACCGAGGAGGGGATCCCCTAAGCTTCATACTGGGAAGAAATAATTCCACTGCTTCAGGGTAGGGCCTAAGGGAGAGCTGAGAGACGGATTAGCCGTTAACAGCACTTGCTGTGTGAGCATGAGGATTGGAGTTCGGATCCCAGCACCCACAGACGAAGCTGGACATCCCACAAACCCCTTTAACAGCAGCTCTGAGGGACCCTATACCTCTCTGGCCTCCGTGTGTTCACACGTGAACACACATGCACACACAGGAATGCATGAATGAGTCTTGAACTCAGTGTTAAGTGTGTCCACTGCTCTCCTAGAGGACCTAGGTTCGGTTCCCAGAACCTACATAATAACTCACGACTGTAACTTCCGTTCCAAGAGACCCAGTGCCCGCTTCTGAAGTCCTCAAGCACAATGTACACATGTGGTGCATACACATACCTGTAAGCAAGACACACACACAGGATAACCCTCCAACTTAAAAATATTACACACTTACAGAAACGAACAGTTTGAAAGTTAAGCAGATCGAAGAAAAAGAGGTAAATAAGCACTGTAGCCTATTCAAGGCTGGAGAGGCGGCTCCATCAGCAAAATACTTGCCTCTCAGGCATGAAAACCTGAGTTCAGATCCCAGCATCCATAAAGGTGGTACACACAGTAATCTTTGTGCTGGCGGGGTGGGGGGGGAGCTAAGGGCTGGGGTGGGGGATGGGGAATTGGAGGTGGGGGATGGGGGATGGGGTGGAGTGGGGGGTAGGGGGGTTGGGGAGTGGGGGTGGGGACAGCACAGGAGAATCACAGGGAGTGGGGGGTGGGGGGGTGGTTTGCTGGCCCAGCTTGTCTGGCCAGATGGGAGCTCCTGGTTCCCTGGTTCAGCGAGAGGCTTGTCTCAAACAGTAAGGTAGAGAAGAGATGGAGGACAGCTCTCTCTCTCTCTCTCTCTCTCTCTCTCTCTCTCTCATATACACACACACCATACACACTCGTGCACACATGAACACACGCAATTATGTGCACACACACACACATATAAAGCCTGTTTGAAAGTACTTGACTCCAAATAGCTGCCCTCTGACCTCCACACGAGTACCACAACACTTGTGTGCACATGAGTGTATGTACATACACACACACACACACACACACACACACACTTTTTTTAAAATGTAAAAAGAAAATAGAGCATCAGGGAGAGACTGGGGTGGAGCTCGGTGGTAGGTCACTGCCTGCCACTGACAAGCATGTATGATGCTGGGATCCCATCTCATGCATGGAAAATACAAAACCAAGCAAAGCTGCTATGGGCTACTACTGTGGGAGTTTCCCTTTACGCCTCTGACGGAACCCTAGACGCTGGGGCTCTGGTAGAGCTGGACTGTGAGAACCCGGATCCCCAGAGGAGAGGCGATGACTCCTCAACCATGAAGCCCAGTTCAGACTTCAGGACAGCGCTCGTCAGCATACTACTCTCCGAAATCAGAGACGTCTTCCTGTGAGGCTGGAGGGGTGCTCAATGGTGAAGGGCACTGGCTGCTCTCACAAAGAAGCCAGGTTTGGTCCCGGTACCCACACGGCGGCTCACAACCACCTGTAACTCAGTTCTAGGGGAGCCAATGCTCTCTGCTCCATGCATCTCTCTCCCAGCTCGTGTCCTTCATTTTGGGCTCGTTCCCACCTCTGCCTGGATTGCAAATGTGTATGACCATACCCAGATTTTATATTGGGAGTTCTGGGACTTGAACTCCTGTCCTCATACTTGCAGAGCGAGCCCTTCACCAGCTGAGCCATCTCTAGCCCAGAACTCCTGTGGGGCAGGGTCTTGCTACTTAGCTCTGGCTGGCCTGGAACACACCGTGTAGTCCAGTGCAGCCTCAAACTGCAGAGTCTCTACCCTCAGCCTCCCAATGCTGGGGTTATGGGTGTGAGCCACCACGCCTTGGAGACCTCTTAGCTTTGTGAGTCCGTGCTCACTGGAGGGAGACACAGACTTCCCCTCCTAGCTTACAAACAGTAGCCAGTGCTTCCAGAAGCCTCCATAGGGTTTCTCAAGGCCACACAGCTCCAAATTACGAACCTAGAATTCCTCAGCACTACCAGCCCAGCACGTGCTGCAGACAGGACGTGAGCAAGGGTTGCATCGGTTACAAGACCCATCAGTGAGGAAGCATCCAAACTGCAAACTAATTCCCACAGGTGGGTCACACAATGAACAGCATCGATTTCCATATTTTCCATATGACAAAAACAAGCCAGACAAGGGCACCCTGTTTGCATCTGACTTTGCATTCTTCTCTGTGTGTGTGTGTGGGGGGGGGGGTGTGTGTGCAGGGGGCGCTGCAGAGGCGGGGACATTCATGCTTCAAGAAGAACCAGGTCAGACAAAGGCCGCTGTCCCTGCTGCCACCAACTACATTATGAGATGTGACCCAAAGTCTCAGATCCCCTACAATGAGGGGAGCGCACCCGGACAGCTTTCGGAATGATAGAATGCAGGGACTTCCAGGCAAAGGTTGCACACGCTTACAGTGAACTTACATGTTACTGGGGGAAAGAAAAACAGCTTCATGCTCTGGGTATTAAAAAATGACAGAGTTGGGTGGGGCTGGTGAGATGCCTCAGGGAGTAATAGGTACTCCTGTGACAGGGAGAGGGAGGGAGGGAGAGGGGGAGGGGAGAGAGGGGAGAGAGGGCGAGAACTCACTCCTGACCTCCACAGGCATGCTATGGCATCAGAGTCGGGCTGGGCATGTGACTCCAGAGTGGAGGAGTAACTCAGAAGGGCACCCTTGCCCACAGCATCCACAGCACCGCCAACGACACAAACAAGAAACAGGATGAGGGTTCAAGTCCCAGTACCAGAAATAATAAATAAAAATGTAAACCAAAATTCAGAAAAGCTACTCACCTAATGACGTGTACCTATTAATAAACATTTTGGGGGAGAACAAAAGAAAACCAATGACTAGTCTCAGAACAGGAGAAAAGCACTCGGCATTACAGGTACCTGTAAACACAAATGAAGATCAATGCCATCAGTGGTGTCCAAACTGCAAGCACTGGAGCTGGGGAGCACAGACCCTCACTCAGCAGCGGGGGTGTTTGAAACAGCCAGCAGGGGGAGTATTTATCACTTTTATGTGTGTGTTTTGCATCCCTGTATGTACATGCAGTACCTGACTATCCCAGAAGAGGGCACCCCGTCCCCCGGAACTGGAGTTACAGTTATGAGCCGGGAACTGAACTCAGGTCCTCTGAAAATCAGTAAGTACCCTTAACTGCTGAGCCACCTCTCCAGCTTCTCGGTAGACTTTTTTCCTAAAGTTAGAGTCAGGACTAAGTTATGACTTAATAATTCTACTCTTAGGTGAACATGTCTCCACAGAGCCCTGGGTGCAACTGTTCAGTGTCTTTATCCACAACTAAAAACAGCAAATATTTTAGATTTCTAATAACAGGATATTCAGAGGCAACATCATCTGTAGACACAGCACAGTCAGATCACTGCTCAGAGGTAGAGGACAGACGCAGGACGACACCCTCTGGCCCCCTGGTGGCTCTACACTTGCTGACTGTGGCGAGGCCAGAGACGGTCAGTCCTTCACTGGGAGGCAGCTAAAGGAACTTTCTGGCAGAAAATCTGTGTTCTCACATGTGCATTTTCAAAGCAGCCGAACAGTACATTTAAGGCCTTGCTTTCTGTGACTTTGCATGAAGGAGAGAGCTGAAAAATCCCATGAGTAAGGTATGAGAATGGTGGCACACCCCTTTGATACCAGCTCTCAGGAGCAGAGGCAGGCAGTCTGTGAGTTCAAGGCTAACCTGGTCTACATAGCGAGTTCTACGACTGGCAGAGCAAATAGTGAGACCTGTTTTAAAAACACAGAGAGATGGGTGGGGAGTGAGGCAGGGAGGAGGAAGAGGAGGAGGACGAAGAAGCAGAAGCAGCAGCAGATGATGATCCAATCACATAAGTGAAATAAAACTCACATATATCGAGCACGGCATGTTTGTTTGAGTTTGGTTCCAAGCACCCATGTCAAGTTGTACATGACTATAATTGTCGTTGCTCAAGGGGATCTAATGCCTTCCCCTGGACTCTGAGAGGGATTGAATACACACACACACACACACTCACACACACACACCACACACACACACTCACACACACTCACGTAACAACAATTAATGAAAAAAAGAGGCTGTGAATTTCAGAGAGGGAAGGGAGGTGGCGCATGGGAGGGCTTAGAGTGGTGTTCTCCAACCTTCCTAATGCTGCGGCCCTTATACCGTTCCTCAAGCTGTGATAACCCCCGGCCCTAGAATCATCTCATTGCTACTTCATAACTGCAATTTGCTACTGTTATGAGTCATGATGTAAACATCTGATATTTCAGATGGTCTTCGGCAACCCCAGTGAAAGGGGTCAAGACACACAGGCTGAAAACTGCTGGTTTAGAGATGGGAAGGGAAGGAGGAAATGATGCAGTTATAATTTCAAAACAAAAGGAAAATATCAGCAACAATAACAACAATAATGTTGCAACAATTGACAGTGCTTTCTGCTTTTGCAAGAGGCCTGAGTTGGGTTCCAGCCCACACGTCAGGAGGCTTTTAACTACCCATAACTTCAATTCCAGGAAGACCCAATCCCCCATGCCTTGAAGGATATCTGCACCCATGTGTACATATGCACACATACAGGTGAAAATAACAAATCTAATCAAGAATAAATAGAAAATAACTCAAGGTGTACATGATACACATGGTTAGGAAGAAACCACTTGAAAACCAGCACGCTAAGAAAACTGCTCAGTTGTTGGTAGCCAGGGAGAGCACAGAGACCACCGGACATGCCGTACAGCAGGCCCGGAAGGATGTCAGAGATGTACAAAAGTTAACGGTAGAAATAAACGTCGGTGTCATTGCCAGACAGAGCAGTGCTGGCCGGGCGCAGAGGAAGGACAGAGGTGGGGACTCTGGGGCACTGGGCTGTGAACACAGATGCTGTCCCCACTGGGGAGCTCTGTGAGGCTGGGGGAACCACCCAAGGCAGGGATGTGTCTGTGACTTTCTCAGAGGGGAGTTGAAAAGGCTCCCGCTTAGCAGCTACAGGCTTTGGGGACTTTCTACTGAAGGCCACAGCCGACCCTCGCAGCCCTGCCCCATCTGGAGGAGGACTTAGACATGCCATTCCACACACACCCGTTGTAAAGCAGGGAGGGGTAGTCCAGAAACCAATCTGCTCCAGCAGAGCCACAACACCAGCTCTGACCGTGCCACGCCGCTGTGGCCCACCGGTTCTGCTCCTTAAATTCCCCACAGCAGCCTTCCATGGAGGAACACATCAGCTCCAGGCAGTCAGAGCAGTCAGGTGACTTCCCAACGTTGTCAGCTGCTCTTGCAGAGTTACACCCCACGTCTTAACCACCACCATACACCTTCTGCGTTATCGGATCTGCAGCTGCATTATTCTTTAGTTTACTCATCGTGCTTGTGTGCATGCATGCGTGCGTGCGTGCGTGCGCGTGCGTGCGCGTGCGTGCATGTGTGTGCTTCTACTCCCTGAGCCATCTGTCTCGCGTCTGTATCTGCGTTTGAGAAAGCTTAGCCCTCTACCCACCCAGAACCCCTGAGCAAGCTCTTTGGCTGTGTTTCCTGTTCCACCATTATCCCAACAGTTTGCATCTTTTGTTTATTTTTGAAACAGGGTCCTTCAGGGTAGCCCAGGCTAGACAACACTCCACCTCATGATCTTCAGCACCGGGAAACCCACACTAAACTCCCAGGGCCTTTAATCTGGATGTCCCTCTAGCTTCTACTGACTCAGGACATGTGACTGTCATTCTCAGAGTTCTCAAGTGCTCTCCCCTCCCCCCCCCTCCACAGAGACAGCCATCAAGAAGAGTTTTCCATGAGATAGTGTAGGAAGAGCCTTCTCTAACCTGTGGCCTCCACACGCCGATGCTGTTACAGGACCAGAAGGGCCTTCTCAGGCTCTCCCCACCACAGAGGACCTTCGCTACCTACGCAGTGCTCTTGTGATCTGTCAAGGGACAGAATGAGAGCCAAGATCAGCTACGTAGTCTGTTTCCTACAGATAAGAAGCCCTACACACATTGTATGCATGGCCTCCATCTAAGAATATCTAAATTTCCTTTTCAAATACGTATCTGCTGGTGATTCGATATTGCCAAGGGGGCATGCACCTGAAATCCTAGGACTTATACCTTGGAAGACGGCATAGGCAGATCAGGAATTTGAAGTCATATTTGATTCCCAGAACCCACATGGTGATTCATAACAATACGTAAATCCAGTCCCAGGGGATCCAGCAGCGTCTTCTGACCTCCTGGGGTGCCAGATACACAAATGGGGCTCAGACACACATGAAGGAAAATACTACAACAAAGAAAGAGATAACCAACATTGCCTGTCAACACAGGATACTTACATATAATTAGAGGAGAAAGAAAACATGCAGATGGCCACAGACAGATATAATTGAAAAAGAAATTATTTAAGTAACCATTTGTGCAAGCTAACTAACTGCTCTTAGAGTTAACCCTTGGAGGCAAGAGTGCCCTTAATAACTTCATGGTCCAGCGAGCCTGACGCTGAATCAAACCTTAGCAAGAACCGCCTAATTTCACTGTGTGCGCATTGGTTGTCACTGAGTATTTGGAAAAAAGAATGACTCCGTCTTTCCACAGCTGGCAGATAAATTTGAGATGGGTCAGAAAACAGTTCCTAATTTATTCAACTGTCTGGGGAGTTTCAGGACAGCTGTGGACATTTGAATATTTTTCTTTCCGACCCAGAATTCAAGTGTCTGACGCACACGCCTCAAGCAGCACGGTGGCAGCGGGGGAGGTATGTGTGCGTGTGTATGTGTGTGTGTATGCATGTGTGTGCATGTGTGTGTGCGTGTGTGTATGTATGTGCATGTGTATGTACGTGTGTGTGGCACTACTGCTCTTCATGACAGTGGGGGATGTGTATGTGTGTGTGCTTGTATGTGTATATGTGTGCTTATGTGTGTGTGTGTGCCTGTGTGCCTGTGTGCCTGTGTGTATGTGTGTGTGTGTGTGTGTGTGTGTGTGTGTGGCTACTGTTCTTCATGGCAGTGGGGGATGTGTGTGCATGTATGTATGTGTGTGTGTGTGGTTGTGTGTGTGTGCATGAGTGCACGTGTGTGTGCGTGCGTGTGTGCATGCGTGTATGTGTGTGAAGTGTGCGTGTGTGTGGCTCCTTTGTGGCTGTTCCATGCCTACCTGCTGTGCAGAATATTTTGAAAACCTGAACTGCCCTCTTTGTCCAAAGTTTGATTTTAACAGTTTTTCGAGAAAGACCTTCACATAAGGAAGAGGTCTTAAGTAAAACCCCCCTAGGTGTGCCCTCTCTGGATTGAAAAAGTACAAACATCTATGGGTTTAGTGAATCCTAGCAGCTTAAGAGCATGTCAGCGGAGGAAGGAAGTGTCCACATGTCATCCAGACTTGAAAAAAATGCACTCAAACCAGGGCGCAGCTTTTCCTAAGGTTGGGATCAGCTGTCCCCGCAGGCTAGGCTGGAGGGTACTTACTGGTGGGGAACTCAACAGCCAGCGGCCACAGCAGCTGACTCCCAAGCTGACGCTAAAGGGAGCCATTGCAGAAGGGGGGGCACAAGTCTCGCTCGCTCATGAAACTGGGTTGTAATATTGATCTCCTCAAAAGGCAGCCGTGTCCAGTGGGTTAGTGCTCTGAGCGTGGGATCTAAGGCAGACACCACTTGTACCTGCCTAGCCTCACCTCAACACAACAGTCACAAGAGAACTTCCAAGTCCCCGGCAATAACAAATGTAGCCTTCGTGACTTAAAGCACAGCTGTTAGCGCTTTCGAAAACACTGGAACTGGTGAGCTCACAAAGTGTAAGGCAGCAGCACTAAACTACCCAGCAACACCGCTGTTGTAAAAGGAGGCAGTTCCTCACACCCACAGATGGAAAGTTCAGGAATTCACAGCAAACCCGGACGGGACACCTGCTTATCCCTCCACAGGACTCCCTGCAAAGGCAAGGTCCATGCCACTAAAATAAGAAGCTTGCAGGGCAAAAGCAGCTCTCTGCAGTGCTGAGGTAAATAAGCCTGACACTTCCGTCCCGTGTGTCTATAAATAAAAAGACAGGTTTATAAATAGCCTGACATTTGTAATTTGACAATTGTCTTCTCACATTATTTTTAGTAAACTCTCTCATGCCTCTGGCTGACACAAATGTTCTAAAAAGTAAAGTGGGTCTGAGCATGGTGGGACATGCCATTAATCCCAGCACTCGGGAGGCAGAGGCGGATGCTCTCTGAGCGTTTGAAGTCAGCCTGGTCTACACAGAATTTTAGGTCAGTCAGGGTTACAGAGTGAGACCTTGTTCCCAGAAACAAAACAAAACCAAGACTAAAGTGTGCATATAATATATCCATCCACACATATGCACACACACACGTACACATGTATGTTAGGCACACATTACAATTACATTTATATTGATACGCACTCTTGCACACAAGGCCAATGCTCAGCCATTGAGCTACCCCTCCCCCACACTTTATTTGAAAAAGAAACAGCCATAGATGCAGTCAGGGTAGCCCATGGTCCTATCACGTTCCTAGCAGAGGCAGATCCCGGGGAGTCCCTCCTCTGCACCCCGCCCTCCTCTGCTTCCCAAACTTTCTGCAGGATAACCCAGCAGCTGGGAAATGGCACAAGTCCTTCGGCCCCAGCCTGGGCGACAGGAACTGTGGTGAACCGTGATACTTACATGGCAGGCCACAGTCTTCTGGGCTGAGTCTGGGCAGAGCTGGGGTCCTCGGTGCTCTTAGTTTGCGGGTTCTGGAATTCCTCTAGGCTCTTCCGCGGGCCCTACCCTAACCCTTCACCTGGGTCCCTTATGCACAGGTCGGTCTGCGTCTGGGCAGCGTGCAGGGCACTGGGCACTCGCTCTTAGGCACAGGAAACTGGAAATGTGTTTTTCTTCTCAGGGAAGTGATAAGCCTGGGCTCCACTTCTGCAAATGTGTTTGCACGGGCACAGCCAGCTCCTTCCACCCTACAGGAGCAAGCTGGGGCCTCTGTCTCTCTTTCATCAGCGGGCTGGGCTGTTTGACACCGCCTCCTCCCTCCTCAGGACCCGGTACTTCCTCCACAGTCAGCCTCCTGGGGCGACTAAACAGTTCCTCTTTTCTTTTTTCTTTTTCTTTTTTGTTTCTCCATTTTTACTTCACATTTTAAGGACATCTGAGCAGTGTTCCCGAGTTTAATGTTCCAAGTCCTCCCCACCCTTGGTGGTGTCCCCCAGCCCTGGGCTGTCTCTGTGGAGCCTGTTCACGGCCACTTAATGATACCTAGTTGTTTCTGGCTGACGTCGTTTTTTTTTTTTTTTTTTTTTTAAAGGAGAGAGACAGACAGACAGACACCCCAAGACCCCAGCCACAGGCTTCCAGGGTCTCTTTAGCCAAGAGTCACTCTGGGAAACCGTGACAGGCCCAGGCTTCCTTCCTTAGCGCTCACAGGAAAAAGTGAAGGCTTGTAAGCGAGCGGCCAGCTCAGATGAGCATGTGCTTTCCTGCTTGACTCAGGCATGACCAGCTGCCCACAAGCTCCGCACGCTGGGAGCTGCTCCAGAGAGAGAGCCAGGCCGGTGTGTGCAGAGAGTGGGTGCCAGGGGAAACCTTAACCTTTCCCCTTTGGACTGTCACTCATCGAAGCGCAGGTAGCTTAGTTCAGGAAGTCCCTCCCCTCCACAACTGGAAACCCCCCCTCCTCCGGGAACTCCCTGATGTCAGTCCACAGCTCTTATCCCCCCCACAAAGCACCCATTCCATAGCCAGCAAGACTGAAACAGCTTGGCTTAGTACAAACCTTAAACCTGCCAGTGTGATCCCCTTGGGGGGAGAGAGTTCGAAGCTGGGGAAGCCAGCAGCAGTTCCAGGCGGGACCCTGCTGGCGTCTCCAAGGCTTACACACCCTTAAAACCCTACTGTGTGCCCTCATAAGCCAGCCCCACTTACAACATCATTCTGAGCAGGCAGTTCCTCGAAGCTGCCAGCATCGCCACCCCCAGTCACTGACAGTCAGTAGTCACGGCACTGAGCAAGGTCGGTGAATGACTCAGGTAGAAATCTGCGCTCCTAAATACTTATTAGAAGAGATGACACTCTTTTTTTACACAGGATCCCATATAGCCCGGGCTGGTCTCCAATTCCTCATGTATCTGGGACTTCTGACCCTCTACACCCCCAGAGCTGGGCTGGTAAGCACAAACCACATGCCTACTTTATTCAAGACTAGCAACTGAACTTGAACCCGGGGCCTTGAGCATGCTGCCGGGTGACCTCTGTGTTCATGGTATGGTTAACCACATGCATGGTATTGCTAACTACAGAGTGTACAGGCCTGTCCGGTACTGTGTGTGGTACTGTTAACTACGCTATATGGTATTGCTAACTTCAGGGGGTACGGTAGTGTTGGACGCCGTGAGCAACACTGTCAAATATGGTATATGGTATTGTTAACTACAGGTGCGACGTCACGCAGCAGTGACGGGAAGTTGCTTGTCACGTGTGATGGAAACTTCACACCTGTTGAGAAGTAGCTGTGCCTTTCTTCTTTCTTCTCCCCTCAGCCTGCAGACACCGCTGTTCTACTCTGTGCTTCTGTAGGCTTTAAATATTTCAGATACTTGACGTAAGTAGGATCCGGACGTCACCATCCTCCGTGGCTAATGGCTTCCTCAGCCTAACATCCTCTGGGATTGTCTACACTGGGTCCCTGTTTTAACTGTTTTATGATGCCGCATGCTGCCAGTTCGTCTGGGAATGGACCGCTAGGTTAGTTCCACCTCTCAGCATTGGACACAGCAGTGCCTTCATCATTCACACCTTGGCAGACATCTGGCCTGTTACCCGAACTGCAGCAGTGAACCTGTGTCAGTTACTTTTCTCAAACCTGTTGAAGGGAAACGAGGGAGGGAGGGTTTGTGTGGGCTCACATCTCAGAAGCCATGGTAGAGGGCGAGGTGGCCGGCACGTCTCGTCACGTCTCATCACGTCACTCACGTCACATCCAATCATGAGAGACAGAGAGAGCTAACTGGTCAGAGAAACAGCTCACAGACATGGCTAGAGGGTCCTCTCTGCTCATTATAATCCATGAGAACAGGGGGTGGGGGTTGTTGCAGATTCCTGCTACCTCTCCATTCCAGACCTTCTGGGTCCAACATCGCACAGTTTCAGGGTCACGTGGCAGTTCTACTTTGTACGACTTATGATGCCTCTGTATTACTTTTCATAGTGCTGGCCTCATTTTATAACCCCACTAATTACAGCTGATAGTCCCGATTTTTCTACCTCCACCTTCATACCTATTTTTCTTGATGGCCATCCCAAATGCATAGAACAATTTCCTGGATGACCTGCCATATGGTTCCGGTACACAGCTGTGGGCCACGTGTGTCTTCCTTGAAGAAATGTCTTTTCATTCTCCCCCACTTTATAAGAGATTGTCTTCATCTGACAGAACATAAAAAGAACTCAGGAAGCTAGTCACCAAAATACCAAATAACCCTATTAAAAAGTGGGGTACAGAACTGAATAGAGAACTCTCAATAGAGAAATCTAAAATGGCTGAAAGACACTTAAGAAAGTGCTCAGCATCCTTAGCCATCAGGGAAATGCAAGGTGCTAAGAGCCGGCACTGCGCTGGAGTCTGTGTGTTTCATCCCAGCTCAGGTGCATGAGACTCAGTCACCATTTGGATTTTTCACAGAGAGGTCATTTGCTCACAAATCACTATCGTTGAAAACATTTTCTCAGGGGAGGAGTCCCAGGACACGGCTGCCTTTGCTGTCTTGCACACATGGTTTGGTGTGTTGATCACTTGACTGTCTTTTTTAATTTTTGAGACCGGGCCCCCTTGTAGCCTACACTAGCCTTGAACTCATGATCTTCCTGCCTCCCTTTTGCCTATGGGATAATAGGCAAAAAAAAAAAAAAAAAAAAATTTTTTTTTGTCCCCTATGATATCAGTTTTAGAAATAGCCTCGAGCAAAAGGTCTTTAAATACCAACAGAGGTTCATATTTAATGATACTAAATATTTCCATCACTTATATGTATTCATCTAGAAGACAATGATGTTCATGGATTTTACGAATCATAAAATGCTTTGGAATAGCTCTTCCAAGAGGAATTACATGGTACTATCCATTAAAGATGAGAAACAGATGCTAAATCTTTGAAGATTTTTCTCCCACAGAAAATTCCACTAGCATGTTAATGTGTTAGCTGCGAGTTAGTGTTTCTTAGCTCAGCAACTCTTCTGGATGCTCTGATGCTAACCCATGGTTTCTAGCCTGTACCCAGCCACACCTGCATCTCTGAGCACTCCATCTGAATTATAACTGAATGGGTTCCAGTTTTCAGCTACCCAGATGTTATTGTATTATTCAATATCTCAACTCAATATTAAGTTGCATTGCATGCCTACCATGTCCAAAAATCAAATTTCATTTTCTTCCTACTTCTTCCTAAGTAAGACTCTTGCCATCTCAATCATTCAACTGCTCTAGAGCAATGTGGGTCCAAGTATCACAATAAAGCATTCACTGAGTATCGCCACACCCCAGAGCAACTTTTTGAAAAGCAGACTGGATGTGGAGATGGCTCGGCAATCAGTTAAGTGCACTGGCTGCTCATCTGAAGGACCAGGATGTGGTTTCCATCACTTACACCGTGCTGAGCAGCTACCTGTTAATGCCAGCTCCAGGGGACCTGACCCCTCTTCTGACCTCTGCATGTATGGGCACACATGTGGTGCACATATGTACAGATATAGTTGCTTTCTGAGATGACAAAGATGTCGTATGTACATGCTGTCTTTCTACACATACTAACGAATGTAGAATTATTTCCCCTTCTGATCCTACTTATTCTAATCCCCCTTTCAAATCTAAGAAAAGAGCATATCCAGTTTTAAAACTTTAAACATTTCACCTGTTTGTGTAAGTGTGTGTGGGGGGGGGCGGGTGTGCCTATGCACACATTCAGAGGGCAGGGGAGGGTGTCAGTGCCCTGTTCCGTTGCTGTCTGTGTGACTCTCTTAGACAGTGTCTCACTGTATGCTGGTGGCCAACGAGGTCCCTTGATGCTCCTGTCTCTGACCTCTTAGTCCTTTATGTTTCTTCAGCTGGTTTATCACCCTCTGAGTCATAAATTCTCTCCTACTTTGGCCTCTAATCCACCCAACTATATGCAGCTACCACAGGCTAGGCTCTGTTGAGAGAAAATAGAATTCCAAACATGAAGACAACAGATTTCTCTAACCATCTAGAATGTTCAAAAAAAAAAAAAAAAAAGTGTGACTATGTGTGTGTGAGAGAGAGAGAGAGAGAGAGAGAGAGAGAGACAGAGAGACAGAGACAGACAGGGCTAGAGAGACTGGCCATTACTGAGAAGCAAGCACGAGAGAAGGAAGTCATGCAGTCAGTATCATGATTGGAGTAGTCCTGCAATATGAAGATTATCGACCCACAGAAGACAACTCCAGCTGTCCTGTCTAAGCGCCCGTCTGTGAGTCAAGACTGACCCAGAACCAGGAGATCAGCTTCTGGAACGTTCTAGGAAAGCTGTCTCTTTTCACAGTAGGGTTTGCATGGGTCTCAATGGCACTCAGACCATTTGGATCCAGCCAGCAAACCCCAGGGAGTGATCTCCAGACACTCTGAGCAGACTGAAGTGTTATGATACACCTATGGGTGCCAACTTTGGATGTGTCACTGTGAATTCCGTTACGTACTCTTAACAAAAACCATATTCCTTTGTTTGTCACCGTGTCCTGAGACAGCAAAGCTGTTCAGTCTGTGTTGTGATTCTGTTCCCTTGCTTTGGAACAACCATCCTAATAAAGATCGTTGCTTTTAACTTTGAAAATCATTCAGTCTGGAATTGATGTCCCAGCCACACCAAACCGTCCTGAGCAAGCTGACAATGTCCCAGAAACACCTCTGAAGTGGCTTCATTCGAGTATACATTTTCTCTTGTGG